CAAAAAACTCTTGATGATTATGTAAAACCTATTTAGTTATCATTTTATTAATAAATTTGACTTTATTTGTAATATGACACACCGTTATTATGACCAAAATAATATCTGGAATCGATGATGTCATATTAACGGGGGTTAACTGTATAAAAAGTTTTTTAGTGCTGGACTGTATTACATATGATGAATGATGAATCATGAATTCATGAATCCGAAAATTTTCGAAAACGCGGATACTATTAATGTTTATACAAAACTTTTTGGTGAGCTTTGGACCTTCTACACGGAATCTTGTTTGGCACAAGACAACAACTACTACAACAAAAAAACTATGGAAGAACTTTTCTTGTATAACAGCAGCAAGACGACATCGAAACTTGCTTAATTTAGAGGAAGTGGATAATTTAGAAGAAGTGGAACTTTTTTCCGCGGACATAGGAATAGACACAACACTCACCTCCAAAGAAGACATAAAGAAGCAACAGTCTGAAGTTAAAGCCAGAATATCGAAAGAATTCGAAGATATTTATGGAGAAATCATAGAAAGAACACCACTAAATCAACCCATTAAGCAAGGAATACCTTATACTTATCTAAATCGTCTTTTATATCTGATCAAGACGCGAGAGGAAGCTGAATTAATCCCAAGAGTTATTTCAAGATGGCGAAAAAAAGTTTATCCAATGTCTGAAGCGACCACTAGATTCGCTATCGAGAATTGTGTAAAAGCGGGTGCCATTGACATAGCATTTCAATTACTGACCGATCGTCTGAGATACGGTCAGCTTCCAACACAACGACAATTCCGGGTTCTTATGAACGCATACGCTAACCGGATAAACGAAATAACTAATAGGAATCTTGCCAGCGATGATAATATCAGCATCAGTAAGAATACCAAAAACATTAAAAACAGAAAAAAATCAAATCCTAAACAACTAGATCAAGCAGAGATTGAGGACACAAAAAAGAAGACAGAGAAAAATGAAGAACAAGAACCATCATCGCCGATGGAACTTTTGGATACCGTTTATAAAGTATTTGGGTTGATGCCATTTTACGATCTTTCACAATTCGATCCGCATGCATACGCAATACTAATTATGGCGTCGACAAAGATTGACTCTGACGTGGCATGGAGCAGAGCAGACGAAACAACCCAAGAATTAATAAATCGTTTGAAAACTGAAGACATTAAAATTGTTGAAGCACGCGAAAAACATGACGAAGAACGAAAAGCAAGATTGTCGGCGTGTATAGAAGCATTCACTGTTATGGCTAGTGCTTATAAGAAACGAGGTCAAGAGTCAATGGTGGAATCTTTAGAAACTTTTATTCATGATTGGGAATCTCAAATGCACTAGTTGATCGTAGTTTAAAATTTGTACAACTTTTTATGTGGAACAATAACAAATAAAAATTCCATTAAAACGGAGTTAGTATCATGTGAAATGGTATTCGATGGATACAATTTATGTGATTAAAATTCATGTGAAAGACGTTATTGGCTGGTTAAATAATTATTATAAAATTGATTACTAATCAAATAGCTCTAAAAAACCAAATATGAAAAATATCAAGCAACAATATTGATTAAAAATATTAAAATTATTAATTAGTAATTAGTAGAATAATTAAAATTTATTATAATAGAACTTATTATTTCTTTTCTTTTTTAATTATGCTTCAATATAAAGAGATTCATATCTCAAATAAATATTAATAAATTATTTTTTTAAAATAAAATTTATTAATATTCAGATTTATTTAAATATATATATTTTTCTTATAAAATTTTTTTATTAGTAAGAGAAATATTATTTATCAGATGATTTTAAAGTAAAATAGGAGATTTTTGTTAATTATTAGATATAATTATAAGTTTACTTGATTGACTAAATTATTATTCATTAAAAGAGGATGAACAGAATATTTTTCTAATTAATAAAAATTATTTGATTAATAATACTTTTCTAATAACTTTTTTTTTATAAATTTTACTATATAAACTTTGATTAAATTAATATAATATATATAGTAGTAATCAAAAATAATGCAACACTTAAATTTTTACTAATTATAATTAGTAAAAAATTTAAGTGTTACATTATTTTTGATTGCCACTATATAATAAATAATTTAATTATTAAACTTTGAAACTGAATTTTTTTATAATTACTAATTTAATTTATATAAAATTTAAAATATATTTTTTAAAAAAATAATTTTATTTTATTTTTTTTAGAAAATATTATTTTATTTATTATTAAATTAAAATATAATAAAATAATAAAATATTATAAAAAACTAATTTAAATTATTTTTTATTTATATA